ACATGGGCACAGGAGGGGAGCACTACACACTGGGGTTTGTTGGGGGGAAATAGGAGAGGGACAGCGGGGGGTGGGGAGTTGGGGAGCGATAGCATGGGGAGAAATGCCAGACATAGGTGATGGGGAAGAAGGCAGCAAATCACACTGCCACGTGTGTATCTATGCAACAATCTTACATGTTCTTCACATGTACCCCAAAACCTAAAATGCAATAAAAAATAAAATTAAATTAAATTAAAAAAAATCCAAAAATCCTTAGTGATAAGAGCTGTGAAATCATACATTGATGTATGTTACATACATACATAACGTTGATGTTTTATGTACAATTGCTGTATATTAAGAAATACATAACACTGATGCACATTAAATAATGATTTATTCAAATGTATGTATACTTTGTAACAGTGAGTGGAAGTATAGGTTCTGAAATCAAGGTTTCATGGTTTTAAATCCTGATTATGCTATGTCCTTCAGTGATAGTAGATAATAAACTTAAGCCTCTGCTTCCATTTTATTTGTTAAAAAAAAAAAAAAAGGCTGGGCGTGGTGGCTCAAGCCTGTAATCCCAGCACTTTGGGAGGCCGAGGCAGGTGGATCATGAGGTCGAGAGATCGAGACCAACCTGGTCAACATGGTGAAACCCCGTCTCTACTAAAAATACAAAAAATTAGCTGGGCATGGTGGTGCGTGCCTATAATCCCAGCTACTCACGAGGCTGAGGCAGGAGAATTGCCTGAACCCAGGAGGCGGAGGTTGCAGTGAGCCGAGATCGCGCCATTGCACTCCAGCCTGGGTAACAAGAGCGAAACTCCGTCTCAAAAAAAAAACAAACAAACAAACAAAAAAACAAACAAAAGAAAAAGGTGAGAAGGCCAGATGCATTGGCTCAGAAGGACTGTAATTCCAACACTTTGGAAAGCTGAGGTGGCTGGATCACTTGAACCCAGGAGTTCCAGACCAGCCTGGGCAATATGGTAAGACCCCATTTCTACAAAAAAATTAGCTGGAAGTGGTGGTACACATCTGTAGTCCCAGCTACTTAGGAGGCTGAGGTGGAAGGATCCCTTAAGCCTGGGAAGTTGAGTCTGTAGTGAGGTGTGATGGTACTACTGAGTGAGATGCTGTTTCACACACACACAAAACAGTGGGGAGTCACTGGACAACTCCAAGCTGGGGGATGGTTGGATTTATTAGTGTGAGTGTGGCAGCAGCAAGGAAGATGGCTTGGAAGTGAGTGGGGCAAGCTAGAGCAGGAAAATAATAACTACCATTTATTGAGTATTTATTATATTTCATTACTCTGCGTGTAATCTTATTAAGTCCTTTCGATAACCCTTTGAAGTAGATGTTATGGTAGTTATTTTTAGCAGATGAGGAAATAGGCTTTAGGTGAGAGATATGCTTTAGGTCACATAATGTAGAAAGGTCAGGGCCAGGAAAAGAAGCCCAGTTTTGTTTGACTCTGCAGCTTATACTCTAACCACTATGCAACATTGCTAGCAGTAATTGGCTGCAGTCATTTGGGCAAAATATTTCAGAGTTTTGATCAGTTGAATGTAGGGGATAAAAAGAAGTGAGTGACATCTGGGTAAAGTTTCTAGGTGAATGATCAAACCATTAACTAATATAAGGGAGCATAAGAGGAAAAGAATATTTGGAAAATAATAAATTCAGTTCCAGGTATGATGAGTTTATAAACATACATGTGTTTTTAGCTTCATCTATAGGAGAAGATATACAGGCCTACAATTGAAATTTGGAGCTAAGATAGAGGCCTGGGCTAAAGTTGTAGATTTAGGAGTCAACAACTCAGAGGACATATATAATGTGATAGAGGCTGTGTGGGGCCAAAGATGACCTTCAGGCAAAATAAACTAAACCAAAAGAAGAAAAGTATTTTGCAGCACAAATTGTATCATTTCCTTTACACACAAACAGCTCTTACAATCAATAGGAAAGAAATGAACAACCTGATAGAAAAATGAGCAAAGGATGTAAATAGTTTCCAGAAAAGAATATAAAACAAAAACAAATAGAAGAGGGATGCTCAACTTCACGTTAATTCTTACTTTATACACTGACAAACAAATTTAAATGAGGAGGCAAAAGTGAGGTAAAAAAGAAAGTGAGGGTAAACAGGCAGTCTCATGCATGATGATACTATACATTCTTGTAAACTTTTGTGGAAGGCAATTTGCTGTTAAGAATTAAGAACTCATTCCTTTTCATCTGACAATTCCACCCCACCACCTGAATTTTAAAATTTACATATATATATAGGGAAGATTTACATACGTATGTGGATGTTTACTTTTCTTTTTGAGATCAGGTCTCATTCTCAATCTGTTACCCAGGCTGGAGTGTAATGGTGCAATCACAGCTCACTGCAGCCTGGAACTCCTGAGATCCAAGGGATCTTCCCAACTTAGCCTTTCCAGTAGCTGGGAAGGATGATTACTTTTACAGGAATATTTAAAATTATAGGAATTTTTTAAATTTACATATGTATAAACATTTAAAAAATTTACATGTGTAAAAGGATGTTTACTGTGGCATTGTTAATAATAGCATAAAACTTGGAAGCTACCTAGTGTGCATCAGCAAGAAACTAGTTAAACAAGTTATAATACATTAATTCAGAGGAATACTTATGCAGCCATTAAAACATAAGAGAACTGTATGTGCCAATAGGTGATACAAAAGACCTTCAAGATACTCTGTTAAGTAAAAACCAAAACAACAAGTCACAGGTGCAGAATATTTGTGAAAGAACAAAAGAGAATGTATTTGTACGTCGTATTTTTTTCTCGAAAAATATGTAAGAAACTGTTGATCTCTGGTTTCTCTTCTGTACTTTTTCCTTTTTTTTTTTTTTGTAACAAGAGCGAAACTCCGTCTCAAAAAGAAAAAAAAAAAAAAAAAGAATAACAGCAGAGTCAATGGGAGAAAACTTTAGACAGAAACCAGTGGGGACGTGATTTTTTTTTTTTTTTTTTTTTTTTTTTTTTTTTTTTTTTTTTTTTTTTTTAGAATAAAGGAAAGGAAGAAAGAGAAAGAGGAAGAAGGAGAGAGGATGGGGGTATTGCTTTATTGCCCGGGCTAGAATGCAGTCTAAATATGGGTATGCCTATAATTGTCCTTAATAATGGAGACATGAAAGAAAATGAGGGAAGAGAATAGCAAACAAGGAGCCAACCAAGATTTCTTTTAAACTTCTAAGTTGATATGATGTGGTACTGGTAAGAGTAAATATTTTGTATATTTAAAGTGCAGAGTTCTATAAATGTTAATTACATTTACTTGTTCCAGATCTGAGTTCAAGTCCTGAATATCGTTGTTAATTTTCTGTCTCATTGATCTGTCTAATATTAATGTTGAAGTCTCCCACTATTATTATGTGGGAGTCTAAGTCTCTTTATAAGTCTTGTATGTCTGCGTATTCCTGTATTGGGTGCGTATATATTTAGGATCTTTAGCTCTTCTTGTTGTTGCATTGATCCTTTTATCATTATATAATGTCCTTCTTTGCTTCTTTTGATCTTTGTTGCTTAATTGTAACTTCTGCTTTTTATTTATTTATTTTAGCTCTCTGTTTGGTTCGTAAATCTTTCTCCATCCCTTGTTTGGAGTCTTTGTGTATCCTCGAATGTGAGATGGATCTGGATGCAGCATACTGATGGGTTTTAGTTTTTTATTCAAATTGCCTGTCTTTGGATTGGGGGATTTAGTCAATTTAAATTTAGAATTAATAATAATATATGTGAGTTTAATACTGCCATTAGCTGGCTATTTTGTCCATTAGTTGATGTAAATTCTTCATTATATTGATGCTCTTTTTGATAATTTTTTTAGAAAGGCTGATACTGTTTGTTCCTTTCATATGTGTAGTGGTTCTTTCAGAAGCTCTTGCAAAGCAGGCCTGGTGGTGATGAAATCTCTGAGTGCTTGCTTATTCACAAAAAACTTTATTTTTCCTTCACATGTGAAGCTTAGTTTGGCTGGATGTGAAATTCTAGGTTGAAAGTTCTTTTCTTTAAGGATGTTGAATATTGGCCCCCACTCTCTTCTGGCTTGTAGGGTTTCTGCTGAGAGATCTGCTGTAAGTCTGATAGGCTTCCCTTTGTGGGTAACCTGACCTTTCTCTCTGGCTGCACTTAGTATTTTCTCCTTCATTTCAACCCTGGTAAATCTGACGATTATGTGCCTTGGAGTTGCTCTTCTTGAGGAATATCTCTGTGGTGTTCTCTGTATTACCTGGAGTTGAATATTATCCTGCCTTACTAGGCTGGGAAAATTTTCCTGAATAATGTCCTGAAGCGTATTTTCCAGCTTGGATTCATTCTCTTCGTCACATTCAGGTACACCTATCAAGCGTAGATTAGGTCTTTTCACATAGTCCCATATTTCTTGGAGACTTTGCTCGTTCCTTTGTATCCTTTTTTCTCTAATCTTGTCTTCTTGTTTTATTTCATTGAGTTGGTCTACGACCTCTGATATCCTTTCTTCCGCTTGATCAATTCGGCTGTTAAAACTTGTGCATACTTCACGAAGTTCTCCTATTGTGTTTTTCAGCTCCATCAATTCACTTATATTCCTCTCTAAATTGTGTATTCTTGTTAACATTTCGTCAAATCTTTTTTCAAAGTTCTTAGTTGCTTTAGATTGGGTTAAAACAAGTTCTTTTAATTCACAGAAGTTTCTCATTATCCACATTTTGAAGCCTGCTTCTGTAATTGGAACACACTCGTTCTCCATCAAGCCTTGTTCCGTTGCTGATGAGGAACTGTGATCCCCCGCTGAGGGAGAGGCGTTCTGATCTTGGGCATTCTCAGCCTTTTTTGGCCGCTTTCCTCCCTTCGTTATAAATTTATCCATCTGTGGTCTTTGAATTCACCGTCTTTGTAATTAGGTTTCTGAGTGGAGGTCCAACTTACTGATTCTCAGCGCCGAAATCTGAGCAACCCACTGCACCGACCAAATCAGCGGCGTTAAGATTGATGGTGCTTTTCCGACTCTGCACCAAGAACCGTCGCTCCAAGGCGCCGGCAAAACCGCCTCGCCGGTCACAGGAGTCGCGCTGGCGACCCGTGGGGCTCCTCCGCTGGGAATCTCCTGGTGCGTGAGCAACAAGAATTCATGTGAAGGTGTGGCGTCCTCTCATTCTTTGCGCTTTCAGTGGGAGCTACAATCCCGAGCTGTTTAGTGATCAGCCATCTTGGATCTCTCCGGGACGTGATTTTCCTTTTTTTTTTTTTTTTTTTTTTTTACTGAGTACGAACATTACTTTTTTCATTCCTTTTATAATGATCATAATAGTAAAAGATTAGGGGAACTCTAATATCTAAGGGATAGACAGAGGAGGAGGACTCAATAAAGGAGCTGAAGAGGGATGACTGAAAAGACAGAAGAGTGGTATGGAAGTCTAGGGAGGAAAGAACTTTTCAGGAACGATGAATAGGCTATGCCCCAAGTCCACAACATCAAATACTGCCTAGAGAGCCAAGGTAAATAAGATAAGGACAGAACAGGGTTCACTGGTTTTTGTCAGTTAGGAGATAGTTGCTCATTTCAAGTGTCAGGTGGTAGGGGTGGAAGCTGTGTTGCAGTGGGTTGAGTGAATCTAGAGGGTGAGGAAGTGGGCCCAAGGGGCTATAAGTTAGCATTTCAGGAAGTAGCTGGAGGGAAGAGAAGAGGAGATTTTTTTTTTTTTTTTTTTGAGATGGAGTCTCCCACTGTCGCCCAGGCTGTAGTGCAGTGGCGCGATCTTGGATCACTGCAATCTCTGCCTCCGGGATTCAAGCAATTCTCTGGCCTTAGCCTCCCGAGTAGCTGGGACTATAGGCATGCGCCACCATGCCTAGCTAACTTTTTTGTATTTTTAGTAGAGATGGGGTTTCACCACATTTGTGAGGATGATCTTGATTTCCTGACCCCCTGATCCACCTGCCTAGGCCTCCCAAAGTGCTGGGATTACAGGTAGAAGCCACCGCACCTGGTGCTCTTCTTCTTCTTCTTCTTCTTTTTTTTTTTTTTTTTTTAAGATGAGTGATTCTTGCATTTATATACTTAAAGAAAATTGTCAATAGGGAACACTGATATGTCCTGATAATTCTGTTGAAGTAACTCACATATGAAGGAGAAAGTGGTTCCGTGACTTGGTTCTCTAGTCAGTTTTCATTAAGTGTAGTGTTTCTTAGACTTCAGACATCTGAATATAACCTTCATGAATTTTTCTCTATCTGTGTAATTCCTTTACTTTTTTTTTCTTTTTTCTTTTTCTTTTTTTTTTGAGACGGAGTTTCGCTCTTGTTACCCAGGCTGGAGTGCAATGGTGCGATCTCGGCTCACCGCAACCTCCGCCTCCTGGGTTCAGGCAATTCTCCTGCCTCAGCCTCCTGAGTAGCTGGGATTACAGGCATGTGTCACCATGCCCAGCTAATTTTTTGTATTTTTAGTAGAGACGGGGTTTCACCTTGTTGATCAGGATGGTCTCGATCTCTTGACCTCGTGATCCACCGGCCTTGGCCTCCCAAAGTGCTGGGATAATTCCTTTACTATTAAAAAAAACCCCATATTTTAAAGCTTAAATATACTTATTTTAAAAGGAAAACATTTTACCATGATCATAAATAGAAAACAAAGTATTTAATATTTTTCTAATATACATTAAAAGAAATATCCCACTATCAAAAAATGTTTGGCTGTGCAACACCTAAAATAATCACACATACCACATTTTGGAAACATTCATACAGTTGGGCACTATGCTTGAAGACGGAATTGAAAATTGCTTTGAGCATGGTCTAATCTTAATCTCCATAAGGAGACAGAGATTGCATTGATACAAATAAGTACAAAGACACAAAATAGGAAATAATAAATGCCCTAAGAGAGGTATGCATGAAGTACCATGAGAATTCACATGAGGAAGTTCTGGCAGGGAGTTCTAGGAAGTCTTCATGGAGGTCAAGGCTTTTTTTTTTTTTTTTTTTGAGACGGAGTTTCGCTCTTGTTACCCAGGCTGGAGTGCAATGGCGCGATCTCGGCTCACCGCAACCTCCGCCTCCTGGGTTCAGGCAATTCTCCTGCCTCAGCCTCCTGAGTAGCTGGGATTACAGGCACGTGCCACCATGGCCAGCTAATGTTTTGTATTTTTAGTAGAGACGGGGTTTCACCATGTTGACCAGGATGGTCTCGATCTCTCGACCTCGTGATCCACCCGCCTTGGCCTCCCAAAGTGCTGGGATTACAGGCTTGAGCCACCGCGCCCGGCCGGAGGTCAAGGCTTTTAAGCTAAAGCTTAAATAATCGGTAAAATGTGTAATTTAATAAATTGGGGTGAGAGCATCCAGGATGGAATCTTGTGCACAAAGGCAAAAAGATGGAAAAGCTTATAATTCACCTTGCCTGGAGCCTAGGGTTTTGAAGGGATGAAGTGGAAAAAATAAGGCAGGAAAGATAGAAAGGTAGGAAAGGTAAGTTCCAGCGAGACTCTTTTTTTTTTTTTTTTTAAGATGGAGTCTTGCTCTGTTGCCCAGGCTGGAGTGCAGTGGTACAATCTCAGCTCACTGCAACCTCCACCTTCCCGGCTCAAGGAATTCTCCTGTCTCAGCCTCCCAAGTAGCTGGGATTACAGGTGTGTGTCACCATGCCTGGCTAATTTTTGTATTTTTAGTAGAGACAGGGTTTCACCATGTTGGCCAGGATGGCCTCAACCTCCTGACCTCAACTGATCCACCCCTTGGCATCCCAACGTGCTGGGATTATAGGTGTGAGCCACTGCACCCAGCCTTCCAGTGAAGCTCTTAATGACCATTAATTCAAGGGCCTGCAACTCAATGGCAATAAGTGTGTGGATGAGTGTTAAGATATATGAAGGAGGTAGTGGTTCTGTGATTTGATCAAATAATTCCACCTCTGGTACCTTGTTCTGTATTCATAGCCTAGGTCTTGCAAGGATGCAGGGCTCTGAAATTAGTAATTCAAACATTAAATTGTCCACAAAAGATCCCGAGTAGCCAAAGTAATCTTTTTACCAAAAAGAACAAAGCTGGAGGCATCACACTACTACATTTCAAAACATATTACAAAGCTATAGTAATTGTCTTGCTTGGAAAACTTCAAGATTTGGCATCTGGTAGGAGCCTCGGGCTGCTTCCACTCATGGTGTAAGAGGAGCCTACACGTGCAGCGATCACATGGTAAGAGGAAGCAAGAGTAGTGAGGGGAGGTGCTAAGTTGTTTTTAGCAACCAGCTATCCTGGGAAGTAACAGAGAACTCATTATTCCCACATCCCTGAAGGAGGGCTGTAATCTATTCTTGAGACATCAGCCTTCATTATCCAAACACCCCACCTCCAAAACTGGGGATCAAATTTCAACATTAGATTTGGAAGAGAGGCTGAGTGTGGTGGCTTATGCCTATAATTCCAGCACTTTGGGAGGCTGAGGCAGGCAGATCACCTGAGGTCAGAAGTTCAAGACCAGCCTGGCCAACATGGCGAAACTCCGTCTCTACTAAAAATACAAAATTATCTAGGTGTAGTGGCACACACCTGTAATTCCAGCTACTCAGGAGGCTGAGGCAGGAAAATTGCTTGAACCCAGGAAGCAGAGATTGTAGTAGGCCAAGATCATACCATTGCACTCCAGCCTGGGTGACAGAGCAAGACTTTGTCTCAAAAAAAAAAAAAAAAAAAAAAAAGAAAAAGAAAAAAGGATTTGGAAGAGAAAGACATTCAAACTATAGCAGTAATCAAGCAGCATATTAGCTTAAAAACAGACACACTGACAGGTGGAATTAGATAGAGAGCCCAGAAATAAACCCACAAATCTATGATGAATTAATTTTCAACAAAGTTACCAAGAACACACAAAGGAGAAAGGACAGTCTTTTTACTAAATAGAGTTGAGAAAACTGGATATCTACATAGAGAAGAGTAAGAATGGACCCTTATCTCATCCCTTATACAAGAATCAACTCAAAATGGATTAAAGACTTAAATGTAAGGCTTGAAATTATAAAACTGGCTGGACCCAGTGGCTCAGGCCTGTAATTCTAGCACTCTGGGAGGCCGAGGCAGACAGATCACTTGAGGTTGAGTCTGAGACCAGCCTGGCCAACATGGTGAAATCCTGTCTCTGCTAAAAAATACAAAAAATTTAGCCAGGTGTGGTGGCAGGCACCTGTAATCCCAGCTACTTGGGAGGCTGAGGAAGGAGAATCACTTGAACCCAGGAGGCAGAGGTTGCAGTGAGCCAAGACCGCGCACCACTGCACTCCAGCCTGGGCAACAGAGTGAGACTTCATTTCCAAAAAAAAAGTGTATATATATAAAATTCTGTCATTTGTGACAACATGGATGAGCCTAGATGATACTATGTTAAGTGAGGTAAAACAAGCCAGGCACAGAAAGTCAAACACCATATGATTTCACTCATATGTGGAATCCAAAAAAGTCAAACTCATAGAAGTAGTTGGTAGAATGGTGGTTACCAGAGGCTGGAGGGAGTGGGGAGGTGGATGGTAAAAGGGGAGATATTGCTCAACGGGTACAAAGTTATAACTAGATAGTAGGAATAAGTTATGGTGTTCTATTGCACAGCAAGATGACTATCATTAATTATAATATATTATGGGCCAGGAGCACTGGCTTATGCCTGTAATCTCAGCACTTTGGGAGGCGAAGGCAGGAGAATCATTTGAGCCCAGAAGTTTGGGAACATAGTGAGACCCCAGAAGTTTGGGATCATAGTGAGACTCTGCCTCTATCAGAAAAAACAAAAAAAACAAAAACAAAAAAAAAAAAACAACCACTAACTGAGTGTGGTGATGCACATCTGTGGTCACAGCTACTTGGGAACCTGAGGCAGGAGGATCGCCTGAGCCTCAGAGGTGGAGGCTGCAGTGAGATGTAATTGTGCCATTGTACTCCAGCCTAGGTGACAGAGTGAGACCCTGTCTCAAAAAAAAAACCCAAAAAACCAAAAAAAACAAACTAATGCATATTTCAAAATAGCCGAAAGAGGATTTTAAATGTTCTTACTGTGAAGAAATTATAAATATCTGAGGTGACAGATATGCTAATCACTCTCATTTGATCATTCCACAACGTATACATGTGTTGAAACATCACATTATATCCTATAAATATATACAATTAGTATTTTTTCAATTAAAAGTAAGCCAAAAAACCCCACATCAAGTTCTCTTTCTAAAACTTACCAAGCTTTTCTAGCTCACTGGCTCAAGTAATCCCACTGCAATTCTTTGATCTCATGAAGCCTCCAGTTCACTGCCCCTCTTACCACACACATTTTCTCTCTTTTCATCACTCCTCCAATCTTTTTTTTTTTTTTTTTAGAAGAGGAAGAAAGAGAAAGAGGAAGGAGAGAGGATGGGGGTATTGCTTTATTGCCCAGGCTAGAATGCAGTCTAAATATGGGTATGCCTATAATTGTCCTTAATAATGGAGACATAAAAGAAAATGAGGGAAGAGAATAACAAACAAGGAGCCAACCAAGATTTCATTTAAACTTCTAAATTGATATGATGTGGTACTGATAAGAGTGTATATTTTGTATATTTAAAGTGAAGAGTTCTATGTTAATTACATTTACTTGTTCCAGATCTGAGTTCAAGACCTGAATATCGTTGTTAATTTTCTGTCTCATTGATCTGTCTAATATTAATGTTGAAGTCTCCCACTATTATTATGTGGGAGTCTAAGTCTCTTTATAAGTCCTGAATGTCTAGGTATTCCTGTATTGGGTGCGTATATATTTAGGATCTTTAACTCTTCTTGTTGTTGCATTGATCCTTTTATCATTATATAATGTCCTTCTTTGCTTCTTTTGATCTTTGTTGCTTAATTGTAACTTCTGCTTTTTATTTATTTATTTTAGCTCTCTGTTTGGTTGGTAAATCTTTCTCCATCCCTTGTTTAGAGTCTTTGTGTATCCTTGAATGTGAGATGGATCTGGATGCAGCATACTGATGGGTTTTAGTTTTTTATTCAAATTGCCTGTCTTTGGATTGGGGGATTTAGTCAATTTAAATTTAGAATTAATAATAATATATGTGAGTTTAATACTGTCATTAGCTGGCTATTTTGTCCATTAGTTGATGTAAATTCTTCATTATATTGATGCTCTTTTTGATAATTTTTTTAGAAAGGCTGATACTGTTTGTTCTTTTAATATGTGTAGTGGTTTTTTCAGAAGCTCTTGCAAAGCAGGCCTGGTGGTGATGAAATCTCTGAGTGCTTGCTTATTCACAAAAAACTTTATTTTTCCTTCACATGTGAAGCTTAGCTTGGCTGGATGTGAAATTCTAGGTTGAAAGTTCTTTTCTTTAAGGATGTTGAATATTGGCCCCCACTCTCTTCTGGCTTGTAGGGTTTCTGCTGAGAGATCTGCTGTAAGTCTGATAGGCTTCCCTTTGTGGGTAACCTGACCTTTCTCTCTGGCTGCCCTTAGTATTTTCTCCTTCATTTCAACCCTGGTGAATCTGACGATTATGTGCCTTGGAGTTGCTCTTCTTGAGGAATATCTCTGTGGTGTTCTCTGTATTACCTGGAGTTGAATATTATCCTGCCTTACTAGGCTGGGAAAATTTTCCTGAATAATGTCCTGAAGCGTATTTTCCAGCTTGGATTCATTCTCTTCGTCACATTCAGGTACACCTATCAAGCGTAGATTAGGTCTTTTCACATAGTCCCATATTTCTTGGAGACTTTGCTCGTTCCTTTTTATCCTTTTTTCTCTCGTCTTGTCTTCTTGTTTTATTTCATTGAGTTGATCTTCGACCTCTGATATCCTTTCTTCTGCTTGATCAATTCGGCTGTTAAAACTTGTGCATACTTCAAGTAGTTCTCGTATTGTGTTTTTCAGCTCCATCAATTCACTTATTTTCCTCTCTAAATTTTGTATTCTTGTTGACATTTCGTCAAACCTTTTTTCAAAGTTCTTAGTTTCTTTAGATTGTGTTATAACAAGTTCTTTTAATTCACAAAAGTTTCTTATTATCCACGTTTTGAAGCCTGCTTCTGTAATTGGGACACACTCGTTCTCCATCAAGCCTTGTTTCGTTGCTGATGAGGAACTGGGATCCCCTGCTGAGGAAGAGGCGTTCTGATCTTGGGTATTCTCAGCCTTTTTTGACCGTTTTCTTCCCTTCGTTGTAGATTTATCCATCTGTGGTCTTTATAATTACCGTCTTTGTAATTGGGTTTCTGAGTGGACGTCCAACTTACTGATTCTCAGCGCCGAAATCTGAGCAACCCACTGCACCGACTAAATCAGCAGCGTTAAGATTGAGGGTGCTTTTCCGACTCTGCACCGAGAACCGACGCTTCAAGGCGCCGGCAAAACCGCCTCGCCGGTCACAAGAGTCGCGCTGGCGACCCGTGGGGCTCCTCCGCTGGGAATCTCCTGGTGCGTGAGCAACAAGAATTCATGTGAAGGTGTGGCGTCCTCTCCTTCTTTGCGCTTTCAGTGGGAGCTACAATCCCGAGCTGCTAGTGATCAGCCATCTTGGATCTCTCTGCCCTCCTCCAATCTTTTTTTTGAGACACGATCTCACTCTGTCACCAAGGCTGGAGTGCAGTGGTATGATCACAGCTCACTGCAGTTTCGACTTCCTGGGCTCAAGTGATGCTTCCACCTCAGCCTTGCAAGTAGTTGGGACTGCAGGCACTGGCCACCATGTCAGGCAAATTTTTTTATTATTAATTTTTATTTGAGATGAGGTTTTGCTGTGTTGCCCAGGCTGGTCTGGAACTCCTGGGCTCAAGCAATCCTCCCACCTTGGCCTCCAGAAGTGTTGGGATTACAAGCATGAGCTACTGCACTCAGCCTCCTCCAAACTTTGCTTGCTCCCTTTTTTACTTAAGTTCCTGAATTTATTATGACTCTTGCAAATACTTTCAACTCCCTACGCAATACTCCATAGTTCCCCTCCACCCACCTCCTGGAGCAATCCAGTCATCTTCTTTATACTTTAACCTGTATAGTTCAGGATTGGTGGAGGCAATCACACAATGGGAAGGTTAGTGATAATCAACCTTAATCAACTAGGCCTTCAACATAGCTAAAAATCTTCCTTTACACTTAATTCCCCCATTCTCTGAAACAACTCATTCTTACCTTATTCACATTCTTCGAATCTCTCCGTCCTACTCTCTGCTGTTGACTTTGCCTCATACTTTATTGAGAAAATGCATGCCCATCATATAAAACCCCTTCATTTTCCTGTGGATTTTAAAAAATGAAAATAGTGTCTCTTTTTTTCTCTAATGATAAAAATATGTGTTCATTGTAGAAAATTAAAAACACTGAAAAATGGGGCTGGGTGCAATGGCTCCTGCCTGTAATCCCAGCACTCAGGGAGGCTGAGGCAGGTGGATCCTCTGAGGTCGGGAGTTCAAGACCAGCCTGTCGACAATGGAGAGACCTCATCTCTACCAAAAACACAAAAATGAGCCGAGAGTGATGGCACATGCCTATAGTCCAAGCTACTCGGGAGGCTGAAGCAGGAGAATCATTTAAACCAGGGAGGCGGAGGTTGCAGTGAGCTGAGATCATACCACTGTACTCCAGCTTGGGGGACAGAGTGAGACTCCGTCTCAAAAAAAAAAAAAAAAAAAAAAAAAAAAAATATATATATATATATATATATACACACACACATATGTGTGTGTGTAAGTATATATGTATATAATATAAAGAAAGTAAAATTCTATCAAAGCTCACCACTCAGAGATAAACATTGTTGACATTTTGGTAAATATTATTCCAGACATTTTTGTTTAAATATGCATTCAATTTTACATAAATATATACCCTTTCTGGAAACATTTTTCTTCTAAAGTCTCAACAGTAGAATGTAGACATTTCCCTAGTTTTATAACTATAAAACTGTTTTCACAACAAAGTTTTTTTTTTTTTTAACTTTTTAAATATTTTTTAAGGACGAGAGTCTCTCTGTGCTACCCAGTTTAGTCTCAAACTACTGGCTTCAAATGGTCCTCGTACCTTGACCTCCCAAAGTGCTGGGGTTACAGATTTGAGGCATGCATCAGGGCCGATTGTTTTCTCAATAGTTTTTTTTTTTTTTTTTGGAGAGGGCACCTGGATTTGAACCATCACAGCAGTTTTCTTTTTCTCTCTTTCTTTCTTTCTTTTTTTTTTGAGATGGAATCTTCCTTTGTCGCCCAGGCTGGATTGCCTTGTCGCCATCTGGGCTCACTGCAACTTCCGCCTCCTGGGTTCAAGTGATTCTCCTGCTTCAGGTAATTGTTGGGTGACAGGGTACCCACATTTAAGATTTTGATACATATTGCCAAGCTGCCTTTCTTCTATAACGTTGCATTAATTTAATTTGTACTCTTACCAACAGTGCCCAAGAATGCCTGTTTTGTGTATTTTGCCAAATTTAAGGTGTTCTTAATCTTTTTAAACTTTGCCAGTCTGATAGATGAAAAATTTACCTTACTTTAATTTGAATTTCTATGATTACTAGTGAGGTTGAGTATCTTTTTTATTTTATTTAAAAAGTCTTAATTAACTAATTAATATTTGAGCCAAGGGTCACTCGGTTGCCCAGGCTGGAGTGCGGTGGTGCGTCTTGGCTAACTGCAATCTCCACCTCCTGAGCTCAAGCAATCCTTTCACCTCAACCTCCTGAGTAGCTGGGATTACAAGCGTGTGTCACCACGCCTGGCTAATTTTGTGTAGAGACAAAGTCTCACAACATTCTCCAAACTGGTCTCTAGCTCCTGGACTCAAGCAATCCTCCTGCCTCTGCCTGCCAAAGTGCTGGGATTACCGGCATGCGCCATCTCACTCAATCGAATATCTTTTTATGTGTTTATTGGTTGTATTTCTACCTGCGTAATTTGTCTGATCATGGCCTTTGAGCTTTTATTTACTAGAGTATTAGTCTTTTTCTTTTTAATTTGAAGAGCTCTTTTTATGTTAGAGATGTTAAGTCTTTATCTGTTACCTATGTTGAAAAAATCTTTTTTAAATCTGTGGTTTGTCTTTCAACCTTGCTTATAGTGCCACTCAGAAGAGTTATTTTTTATGTAGTAAAACTTATTGTTTTTCCTTTTTTATTTGGGTTTCCAGATCATATTTAGATCTTCTCAACTAGGTAAAACAAAAAATAAATAAATAAACAACTGCATCTTAGTACATTAATAAAACTGTAAGATATTCACACCTACTTTTTAAGACAAATGTTATGATTGAATTTAATTTTTGATTAATGTAGAATTTATTTTGGTATATGAAATGAGAGGTAAGGATCTAGTTTTTTTTTTTTTAACAAATGGCTATCCAGTCATTTCAGTACTTTTTCGTGAATAATTCTTTGCCCCACTTATTTAAATAATTTCTCTATATATTTAGATCTGTTTCTGAACTCTATTCTGTTCATTTATCTGTCTTCACTATCACCACACAATTTTATTTGTAATCATTTTGGTATCTGGAAGAAGCTCCTCTTCCTCACTCCATTAATAATTTTGTTTTTAGAATTTTCCTGACTATAATTGCATGTTTATTCTGGAAGTCTTTTTATTCTTTTAACAGGACCTAATGCTACTTTATTAACTAATTTGCATCCTTGGTTGCTTACTGTCTTTTAATCCACTCTATTAATGCGAGTCTTAATAGACTCTCATTAGAGTCCAAGCTGTTCACCCATCTTATGTACTACGTATTTCACCATTTCTGTGACATTTTGTTAAAGGGTAGGACCGAAAACTTACAGCTTATGTTAGGGTAAAGGAAAATAATTTACAGCATGTTGAGCGCCACTTAATGGCATTTTATTGCTCACTCTTGCATATCCACCTCAATACGCACCCTGCTTCTTTTATCTCCTCTCATTTTCTCTCTTTCTCTTTTACTTTTTTCTTCTGTTTCTTTTAATTTTCATTTACTTGTAACATCTAGGAAGGCCATCTGGATTAAAAAAAAATTGAAGATATCCATGCATCATCAGGGTTTTCACCCTTTCTGTGCATTTTCCTTTATTCACTGGCCCTTTCAGTGTACTGGTGTCAGCTCAATAGCCCTAACTTTGGGGTCATATTTACAACTGGTATTCATCAATAGAGTCATGTGATTCCTATATGCCATATATAATCCTGAATAATATAATATCCATTCTACTACAGACAGTATTAATCATTAAGAACTCTAAGATGCATGTGAAAGGGCTGCTTGTAGTCTTGACAGCTGAAGTCTAATTATCACCTTGTTTGTTCATCTGTTCGTCCATGAACAAAGAAGCTATGGGGGAACCAGGGGCTTAGGTGGGATAATGGAAGCAGGGACTTTGTCAACCAGGAAATGGGAAATGATAACGGAAACTAACATTTGTTAAGTGACTACTACTATATGCCAGCCACCCATTGTTCTAGATACTTTATGTGCATTATTCCATTGAAACAGAAGCCTAGAATTACTTTTATTCCTGTTGTACAGATGAGGAAATTGAGGTGCTAAAACTCTTTTTTTTTTTTTTTTTTTTTTTTTTTGAGACGGAGTTTCGCTCTTGTTACCCAGGCTGGAGTGCAATGGCGCGATCTCGGCTCACTGCAACCTCCACCTCCTGGGTTCAGGCAATTCTCCTGCCTCAGCTTCCTGAGTAGCTGGGATTACAGGCACGCACCACCATGCCCAGCTAATTTTTTGTATTTTTAGTAGAGACGGGGTTTCACCATGTTGACCAGGTTGGTCTCGATCTCTCGACCTCGTGATCCACCCGCCTCGGCCTCCCAAAGTGCTGGGATTACAGGCTTGAGCCACCGCGCCCGGCCTAAAACTCTTAAAAAAATTTTTTTTTAAATAGAGGCAGGCACAGTGGCTCATGCCTGTAATCCCAGCACTTTGGGAGGCAGAGGCGGGCCAGTCACCTGAGGTCAGGAGAGATGAGACCCATCTCTACTAAAACTACAAAAATTAGCTGGGTGTAGTGGCCAGTGCCTGTAATTCCAGCTACTTAGGAGGCTGAGGCAGGAAAATCACTTGAACCTGGGAGATGGAGGTTGCAGTGAACCAAGATGCCATTGTACTCTAGCCTGGGTAACAGAAAGAGATTTCATCTCAAAAAAAAAATAGAGCCATGGTCTCATTATTTTGCCCAGGCTGGTGTCGAACTCCTGGGCTCAAGTGATCCTCCCACCTTGGCCTCCCAAAGTGCTGGGATTACAGGCATGAGACACTGCACCCAGCCTCTTTTTAAATTTAAATTAAATTTTTTTTTTTTTTTTTGTATAGAGACAAAGTCTTACCATGTTGCCTAGGCTGATCTTAAACTCCTGGGCTCAAAGAGTCCTTCTGCCTCGGCTTCCCAAAGTGTTGGAATTACAGATGTGAATCACCGTGCCCAGTTGAGATGCTAAGATTCTTAAAGCTGGCTCAAGGCCACACAGTATGTGGTGCATGGAGAGTCAGTCAACTGTGGCATACTCTACTGCTCCTTTTCACCAGAATTCTTTCCCTAATATGGCAATCGAGGGTTATGAAATAAAGACATACCAAATTGCAGGATGCAAAAGAAGAGGAATTAATAGCAGTACTTTCTGTTTTCCCATTTTTCTTCATTGTACTGTGTAATCTAGATACAATTTTAAAGAGGGAAAATAAATTACTTTTAGAAACCTCATCTTTTCCGTGAAATCTAATGACTGATTCTGAGACTTTCAGGGTCAGGAAGGAACTCTGTTAATGCTCCCAGAAACTGGAGCCACAGTCTCTTTTCTTTATGCTGTTAGCCAGCTCCACATCTGCCCTGAGGTACACAAGGCTTAAAAGAGGGGTATATAGGAAGAAGTGGGAGGCTTATTAATGTTTTGAATTTGTGTTATCTACAAATCTGGAGGCATTATGTTTTCACACTGTTGCCTCTGAGTGGAGATTAGCATCATGCTTAGATTTAGCTGGAATCAAAGACTTACTTACATATTCCACCCCTCAAGCCATTTGGTTTGGAAATGCATGGGACATGCAAGCTTGCTGTGAGCCTGCAGGAGAGTTATTAGGTAGTTTCCTAATGATCGGACAAAGGCAGGGGAGCAGAAACATGTGAAACTACAAGGTTTCTTAATTTTTAATTTTTCGATTTACTTATTTGTTTATTTATTTTTGAGCAGGAGTTTCGCTCTTGTTGCCTAGGCCGGAGGGTAATGCGGTGATCTCGGCTCACCACAACCTCTGCCTCCGCGGTTCAAGCAATTCTCCTGCCTCAGCCTCCCGAGTAGCTGGGATTAGAGGCATATGCCACCACACTCGGCTAATTCTGTATCTTTGGGAGAGACGCGGTTTCTCCATGTTGGTCAGGCTGGTCTCGAACTCCCGACCTCAGTTGACCTGCCCACCTCAGCCTCCCAAAGTGCTGGGATTACAGGCGTGAGCCACTGCGCCAGGCTTATTTTTTATTTTATTTTAATTAATTAATTAATTAATTAATTTTTTGAGACGGAGTTTCGCTCTTGTTACCCAGGCTGGAGTGCAATGGCGCGATCTCGGCTCACCGCAACCTCCGCCTCCTGGGTTCAGGCAATTCTCCTGCCTCAGCCTCCTGAGTAGCTGGGATTACAGGCACACGCCATCATGCCCAGCTAATGTTTTGTATTTTTAGTAAAGATGGGGCTTCACCATGTTGACCAGGATGGTCTCGATCTCTTGACCTCGTCATCCACCCGCCTCAGCCTCCCAAAGTGCTGGGATTACAGGCTTGAGCCACCGTGCCCGACCATTTTTTATTTTTAAGAGACATGGTCTCACTGTCGCCCAGGCTGGAGTGCAGTGGCGGGATCATGGTTCATTGGACCTAAACTCTCAGGCTCAAGTGATCTTTCCACCTCAGCCTCCAAAGTAGCTGGGACTCGGCTACTCGCACTCAGCTTTTTTTCTTTCTTTCTTTTTTGGTGTAGGTGCAGTCTGGCTTGTTGCTCAGGCTGGCCTCTAGTCTCCTCAGCTTCTAATATTTCTATTTCTGGCCTTTGGCACTCTTTCATAACCAGTGGTCAACAACGTGTACTGGCTTTATTTCTTTTCCTGTTCTTTGTGTGTGTGTGTGTGTGTGTGTGTGTGAGAAGTCCCGCTCTTTTTTCTGTAATCCTGGCCATTTGCACTTTTCCTCAATTCATTGTAGTATGCTTTCAGTATTACATCACACTTGCTTAATCTTGGTGACTCTCACCCTGAACTCGCCCAGTAACTGACTCTCTGAACTGCATCCCCAGGATACAAGGTTTAGACTGGGTCCCAAAGCTTAGGCGCCGTGATACAGGGTAAAGGCCAAGTGGGCGTGGCTTAGTGCCCTAGTGTGACGTCGCTAACGTCGCCAGGGGGCGGCGCTTTCCCGAGCGTCCTCGTCCTCGTGCACTGTGGAAGGAGGCTGTGGAGAGCACAGCCGCAGCCTTGGTGGCTGCCGCTGAGGTGAGTGATTTTGTGGGCAGAAAGGGCTAGATTAGGCTTCAAACGGAGGTTAGGTGGGTCGTTTATAACTAGCAAGAATATATTAAAGCCATCAGGCCAATACTTTTTAGAGTGGCCCTGAGGCAGTGACTTTGTACTATCGAACTGCTAGTGGCTCTCAAGGTGAACGAAAGAGGGGTAAAAGTAATGTTTTTTGACGAGGATGGAGGCGTATGGGGAGCAGTGGTGGGTCACTGAAAACCGGAAAGAGGAGTCTGTTGTTTAGATGCTGAAAGACCTAAATCACGTCGAAGCGGGACTGTTGATGACCGTTGGGGACAACGAACGTAATGTTATTTGGCGAGGATGGAGGCGTATGGGTCGCGGTGGTCGGTCACTGAAAACCAGAGAGAGCAGTCATTGTGGTTTAGATGCTGAAGGACCTAAATCATATCGAAGTGGGGCTGTTGATGACGATTGGGGATGGGATGCTGAAGGTGCTAGCTTTCTCAGAGAGCGGGAAAAATGCCCGGTAGTGGTAGCTTTCTCAGAGAGCGGGGGAAAAAGGCCCGGGAGTGGTAGCTTTCTCAGACAGCGGGGAAGAAAGGCCCGGGAGTGGGAGCTTTCTCAGACAGCCGGAAAAAGGCCCGGGAGTGGGAGCTTTCTCAGAGAGCGGGAAAAAGGCCCGGGAGTGATTGGATGCTTTGAATTGCCGCTGGTAGCGAAAGTGGATTTTGAACCAATGAGAAGGAAGCAGCGAGAACCAGCCAGACCAATCACAGGGTACCACTCAGCCCCACTTCCTCTGTTGCCAGGCAGACTTACAGTAAGAAAACCTCCCTTTTTTTTTTTATTTTTTATTTTTTATTTTTTAAAAGACAGAGTCTCACTCCATCACCAGGCGCCAGGCTGGAGTGCAGTGGCGCAACCTTGGCTCACTGCAACCTCTGCCTCCCGGGTTCAAGCAATTCTCCTGCCTCAGCCTCCCCAGCAGCTGGGACTATAGGTGCGTGCCACCGAACCCAGCTAATTTTTTTGTATCTTTAGTAGAGACGGGGTTTCACCATGTTGGTGAGGATGGTCTCGATCTGTTGACCTCATGATCCGCCCGTCTCGGCCTCCCAAAGTGCTGGGATTACAGGCGTGAGCCACCGTGCCCGGCCAGAAAACCTCCCTTTTATGTAACTTGGTAGCCTGGCCCTGACCCTCACAAACCCTTTCATGGGCTTTTAACTTTACTCAGCCTTTTTTTCTCTTGTTGGATAACAAGTAACGGGAAACATTTCACTGGATAGAAATTTGTTGAGAAACTAGGGGATAGAACAGAGTATTAAAAATATGTTATTATTTCATAGGCTTGAGCCAGAGATTTAAAAATGGACAATGATGATTTTCTTTTCATGGACTTTAAAGGTACGTAACTTTATGTAGTAATAAAAAATAATGTCAAACTGCTCCTTATTTAAGATCTAAATATTTCATTTCTTAGTTTTGTCTCTTTGCAGTGTCTGCAGCTCCAGGCTTTCTTATTTATGTACCAGAAACAACGTCGATTTTTAACACACTGGGAACCTTTTATGAACTAGTGTAGGGAGACAGAATTCATAATTCATAACTTGTTTTTTCAGGATTTTTATGGCATGCAAAATAAAATATTTAATCTGAAAGATACATCTATTGCAATAAAAATAAGTTTAAAAAATTACTGCAAGATCTTGGAGTGCCCTACTATAATCATTCGTGAAAAATAAATTATATCCTGTGTAATTTTAGATTTAAGTGCATTTTATTGCGTCTTAATTCTTTTGAAAATTGATAATCTATGTTTGCTTTTTATGGGAACGCTTAACAAACAAAAGCAATTTGACTGACCAGAACACCAAATTCCTCAACCATGCCAGATATAGGAGAGTTTATGGTACTTTCTTTGCTTCTGGGGAATAATGAGACCTGTGGTACCTTCCATATAATAATGAAATACGTGGTAAGAAATGTGGCTACAAATCTATTATTTTAAAAAGTTTAGGTCATTATTTTGTTAATAATTTTTTTTTTTTTGAGACAAAGAGTTTTGTTCTTTTTGCCCAGGCTGGAGTGCAGTGGCGCCGTCTTTACTCACTGCAACCTCTGCCTCCTAGGTTCAGGGGATTCTCCTGCCTCAGCAGGAGGTTTCACCATGTTGACCTCGATGGTCTCGATCTCTTGACCTCGTGATCCACCCGCCTCGGCCTCCCAAAGTGCTGGGATTACAGGCTTGAGCCACCGCGCCCGGCCGGGATTATGGTTTTTAAGCAGCTAATATTTGAGACTTTGTAGTTACATAAATATTTGAATCACACAGAAGAGTATAGAAAATAATACAGTGGCCGGGCTTGGTGGCTCACACCTGTAATCCCAGCACTTTGGGAGGCCAAGGCAGGTGGATCACGAGGTCAAGAGATCGAGACCATCCCGGTCAACATGGTGAAACCCCGTCTCTACTAAAAACACAAAAAAATTAGCTGGGCATGGTGGTTCGTGCCTGTAATCCCAGCTACTCAGGAGGCTGAGGCAGGGGAATTGCCTGAACCCGGGAGGCAGAGGTTGCGGTGAGCCGAGATCACGCCATTGCACTCCAGCTTGGGTAACAAGAGCGAAACTCTGTCTAAAAAAAAAAAAGAAGAAAGAAAATAATACAATGATCATCTGTGTATCTACCACTGAATTTAGTCAAGTCTTAAGTTTGCCATATGCTTCAGATGTTTCAAATAACTAAAAGATTTCATGTACCATTTTTCTTTTTACATTTTATATAAATGTTTATTTTATACAATTTCTTTTTCCTGCAGCTTGTCTCCTTTTTTCCCTCTTTTTGCTTGGTATTGTGTTTTTGATATTTACCCATATGAATACTTTTAGTTCATTTATTTCCACTCCTGAGTAGTGTTTCACTGAATGTAAATGTACCACAATTTATCCATTCACTCTCCTTTAAAATTGTTTCAAATATTTGCTATTACAAACAACAATGCTACAAGGAACACTGTGTTTCTGAGAGTTTAGGAGGAACTTTCAAAAACATCTTTGACTACCACTCATGGCAAAAAAATGTTTTGATCACATCCCAGTACATACATACTGTGTCAAAAGTTTAATAAAACAAGTTTTACCCTTATTACATGCAGTAGACTATGATATTTTTATTCTATTCTTTCTCATTAAAAAAATGCTGGATATTCAGCCATAGGTCTGACTGGAAAAAAAAATGCTGAGTATGACTCACTACATTGATATATTTCTTGAGCTATTGATGATAGGCGAGGCTCTAGGGTACTGCTGTTAAACTGACATATGGTGCAAAAACATAAAATTTTATATTTTTTAGTAGCCCTATTAAAAATGTTTAAACAGATGAAATTAATTCTAATGATCCAATCTATTTAACTCAGTATATCCAAAATGTTATTATTATAACATATAATCAATGTACAAATTATTTATAGGTTATTTTACATTCTATATTTTTTGGTATAAAGTCTTTGGAGTCTGGCATTTATTTTATAATTAAAGCACATCTCATTTTTGATCAGCCGCGTTTCAAGTGCTCAACAGTCACATGTGGCTAGTGGCTACCATATTGGACAGTGCAGTTCTGGAGTTTACATTTATGAGTGTAATTGCTGAATCAAAAGCTATGAGCATCTTTAACTTTATAGATATTGCCAAATTGCTTTCCAAAATGGTCTTAACAATTTAAACTCCCTTTTCCCCATATCCGTACTAATATTTGATATTGTCAGACTTTTAAAATTTTACAGTAGTGAAGAATGTTGTTATTTTTATTTACCATTTTATTTTGGAATAATTTTAGATTTACAGAAAAGTTGCAAAGATAGTGCAAAGAGTTCCTGTATATTCCTCAGGCAGTTTCACTTTCCCAAATGTTATCATCTTACATGGGTGTAGTTTTGACTTATATTTTCCTGATAGCTAGTGAAGTTGGTGTATTTTCTTTTTCTTTTTTTTTTTTTTTTTTTGAGACGGAGTTTCGCTCTTGTTACCGAGGCTGGAGTGCAATGGCGTGATCTCGGCTCACCGCAACCTCCGCCTGCCTCCCGGGTTCAGGCAATTCTCCTGCCTCAGCCTCCTGAGTAGCTGGGATTACAGGCACGAGCCACCATGCCCAGCTAATTTTTTTGTGTTTTTAGTAGAGACGGGGTTTCACCATGTTGACCAGGATGGTCTCGATCTCTCGACCTCGTGATCCACCCGCCTCGGCCTCCCAATGTGCTGGGATTACAGACTTGAGCCACGTGCCCGGCCAGTTGGTGTATTTTCATAGACTTACTGGCTGTTTGAGTTTTCTCTTATGCACACATAAATTTTTCAGTTAAGTTTTGTAAAAATGGACCATAAAAGCCTATCCAGCGGCTTTTAGGAATAGCTATAGTTCATTCCTTAGGGAGAATTGACATAACACCAGTCTTATTTCGTATCACCAATTTCAATAAATTTTCAAGACCAAGGCCAGGCCTGGTGGTTCACGTCTGTAATCCCAGCACTTTGGAAGGCTGAGGCAGGAGGAGCACTTGGGCCCATGAGTTTCAGACCAGCCTGGGTAACAGAGACCCTGTCTTTACCAAAAAAAAAAGAAAAAAAAGCCGGATGTGGTGTTGCATGCCTGTAATAGTCTCAGGAGCCAGAGGTGGGAGGATCACTTGAGCCTAGGAGGTCGAGGCTGCAGTGAGCCTTGTTTGCTCCACTATACTCTAGCCCGGGTGACAGAGTGAGATTCTGTCTTAAATATTTAAGACCAAGAAGGAATAGAAATTTTCTAGATTATTACACCCATTGGGGCTAAATAAACTCCTTTTATGCATGTCATCTTCAACTATTTGAAGTTAGCTTATATACTCTGGAAAGTGTCTTCAGATTGAGCATTCTCAGTTTGTTGAAACATTCCTTATATTACCTGGTTTCTAGTCTCCTTACCATTTTTTGTGCTGCCCTTTAAACATGCTCTATTCTTTTCACGTTATTTCTTAAAGTATGGTACCCAGAATAGAACACAATTCTCTATGTTTGTTATAATCAGCATAAAATACAGTCATGTGCTGCATAATGACATTTCGGTCAACAAAGGACAACATATACAATAGTGGTCCCAGAAGACTTTAATGGAGCTGAAAAGTTCTTTTTTTTTTTTTTCATTTTTTTTATTGCATTTTAGGTTTTGGGGTACATGTGATGAACATGCAAGATTGTTGCATAGGTACACACACGGCAGTGTGCTTTGCTGCCTTCCGTCCCCTCACCTGTATCTGTCATTTCTCCCCATGCTATCTCTTCCCACCTCCCCATCCCCCCGCCTCTCCCCCATTTCCCTCCAACGGACCCCAGTGTGTAGTGCTCCCCTCCCTGTGTCCATGTGTTCTCATTGTTCAACACCCGCCTATGAGCGAGAATATACAGTGTTTGATTTTCTGCTCTTGTGTCAGTTTGCTGAGAATGATGAATATACAGTGTTTGATTTTCTGCTCTTGTGTCAGTTTGCTGAGAATGATGGAGCTGAAAAGTTCTATCACCTAGTGATGTCAGAGCTGCCATAAAGTTGTAGAGCAATGTAGTACTCATGTGCTTGTGGTGATGCTTGTGTAAATAAATCGATTGTGCTGCCAGTTGTTTAAAACTATAGCATGTGCATTTATGTATAGTACATAATACTTGATAGTAATAATAAATGACTATGCTACTGGTTTACGTATTCACTATGCTATACTATGCTATCTTATACTATTTTTTTTATCATTATCTTAGCGTGTACTCCTATTTATAAAAAATAAAGTT